AAGAAATAAAAGCCCAAAGGCCGTGAAGCCCCAAACACCCTCAACTAACCCCCCCGACTCCAAGCCTAATGCTGCTAGTATGAGACAGGCTACATGCCCTAGACTTGGAACAACCAAATTACATGATCCAGTTGCATCCCGATGCTGAGGTAGCATCCCCGCAATGGCAAAGCTACGTGCAGATGCAACCTTGGGTTCAGGAAAAGTACTAGTGAGTCCAACATGCTTGCGGAGACTGATGCTTGTGAAGCAAAGCTGCTTCGAAGGAGCAGCGCCCGGGAATAATGCAGGCAGGCCTTGGTCCAACCGACAGCATTTTCTGCTGCGGCAGGGGCAACTCTGCCTGGTGAGATGTTTTTCATTAACTTGCTTGGCATTGCGGTCACGCTTCCCGCAACAATTTCATGCGACTGCTGCTTCGGCAGTGGAGCTGTCGCCTTAGGCCGCATCCCGTGTAACAAATGCCTATAGGCAAAAGCTGCTAGGATGTGCTGGGATGCAATGCAGCGCAAACACGTGCCACAGCTCTGGACCCGCAAAGGCATGGCCAGCAAGCTCGCCAAAGCACGCAAGCTACGCAATGCAACGCAGCAGGTCAAGCCTCCTGCAGACAAACTGCTGTCTTGAAAAAAACCATCCAAAAGCTTGAAATCCCAGAATCCCCGACTCTAGTGCTTGAGCAGCAGGAGCAAGGGCCATGATGCTTTCTTACTTACAAACTGGAACACGAGGCAAAACAGTTGTTGTCTCAAGTCGTTGCAAGCGGCCGCAGCCTTCATCAGAACTGAGATCAACACGATGTCTGATCAGGCCTGCACTAGGTGCCAGTGGTGCATGGCACCATGTCTGGTCAGGCTTCAGGTTCGACTGTGGCAGAGCTGGGGCCATCCCAATATGGTATAGAATTTCAGGTGCAAGTCAAGTCTGCTAACTGAAGCAGTGACTTAAACACACTCTCCTTCCCTGTCTTCAGAAGCAGGTGGAGGCGACGCTCTACAAGCCATGCAGCAAGCTGCCATGCTTTGGGCGAGGCACAAGCTAGCGACATCTAGCGACCCTCTCCGCGTCCAAAGCTGGCAAAGTACAGCTCGTTTCAGGCTTGCAGGCAACGTCAAATCCGCCGCTAAGAGCTACATCTGTTGCGCTGCCTCGCCATCCAAATTGTAATGTCCCCGAAGCTGTCCAGGGAGAGGATCACTGGACAGCGGCCTGTGGCAGCAAGGTACGCGCTTGGGACTAGGATTTGAGACGAGTATTGCTGCTCTGTTGCAGGGGCCTCCTGCACGGCCCCCTGGGATGACAATGAGCCGCAAGATCTTCGTCAACGACGAGGCTGATGCCGAGTGTACGAACCTTTTCAAAGGATGTGTAGTAGCAGTAGCAAGAAGGCTTTACAGACACCTTCACGTGGCGGGGTTCAGGTCTTGAATCATGTGATGACTCAGGCATGGACATTGTGGCAGCTGGAGACCTCGCTGGAGACCTCGCATTAGCTTGGTCGTATTGATCGACAACCACCCCCACACATGCCTGCCTTGATCTTGTGGTTGTACTTACAGTGTCCTGCGAATCATGACTTATCATCTCCTTCAATCGTGTCTGAGGAATCCTTCAAGCCATCTGCTGAAAGCCAGACTCCCAGCCTTGTGCCAGCGCAATGACGGTCAATGGCCAAGTGGCTCACTAACTAGGCTAGGATTTGCACATGCTTCCAGGACCTGTCCCTGCCCCACCAGCAGCCACCAGCATGCCTTCAGCACCAGCCTGGAGCTTTATTTATTCCCTCCACAAGGAGTCTGTCACCAAGGCTCTTTCAGGCAGCGGCGCCCTCGCCAGCTGATGGCAATGCGAAAACATCACTGATGCCGCTCTCACCTTGGGTGGCTCAGTTTTGCTGACGTGGCGCAAAGAAAGAATAAAAGCCCAGACCTCCAATTCGCGGCGAAGTCTGGCTCCTCAGCAGCCTTCCCACCTGAAACATGCTGCCCAGGTGTGCAGGGAGAAATGCGCAATTGAGAGCCTCTTCTTTGCATAGTTTTTTAACACGTCGCTTTCTAAGCTGTATGCTTACCATTCCCCCTTTCACTTCCTGCCCACCATCTCAACGATGGCTTGTGCGCAAAGAAAACTCAAGATTACATGCATGATAAAGCTAGCAGCGTATGTTATTATGCAATAGCACCAGGTCCCAACCGGCATTTTGGCACAAGTTCTTTAACTCTAACAAGGCAGAGCACAACAAGAACCTGCCATGTTGCAAGCATTTTGCAGTTCAGGTCAGCATCTCAGCACCTTGGGGTCCGGCTGTCGATCGTATGCCGGTTGGGACACCCTTTGGTGCCACTGCACCGGAGATGTCAAGCATCTGTACCTCTATCTGCTCTCTCCTACAGTCTAATGCTCGGATAAAGCGAACAACCTGCAATACTCGTAACAGAATTCCTTTACCTGGCATATGGCAGTGCAACGACAAGAAAGCATGAAAACAAATGCAGGCACCAGTGCCAGATTCAGTCGTTGGGCCTGCAATGCAGATACTCATGACAGAAACAAACATGGCAAACATGGGCCGCTTTCCCGACAAAGGCCTGCCCCTTCAATGTAACTGCACCTGAGACTGTCTAAAGATACGACATATGAGATTCATGTTGCTGTTAGGAGTCGCACATTTGTACAGCAGCATGTGGCCCGTGGAGGTCCCAACTAAGACCATCGCGTGCTCCTCTCAGACTTGATGGACTCATATTAGTCATATTAGGACACCAACAACTCACAAGAAAATATGCCTCTGGATACGAAATCAGCATGGATGCCAGCATACCCTTCGGCAAGTCAAAGGCCTGTTTTTGATGCAAAGACGGCTCAAATTTTGCTGTTTGCTCCATCTGCCTTCAAGCCAGCTCCGCTGTTACCTGAAACATCATACAACTTCTCAGGTCTTGTATTGAGCGTGGGTTCCTGAATACTTTATCACAATGCTGCAGAGACGCCATCATTCGTGCGCGAAATCTCTGCAAGTCCCAACTTCGGACCTGTTTTTTGCAAAGTGCAAACCATTTAAAGTTTGCCTTACTGAACAAGTGGGCAAGCCATGCTGCATCAGCTCTGATGCCTGCGGCTATGACAGCCCACCCCAAGTCGTGGATGACACACAATGCTGATCCGGCTCCATGCTCATCCGTGACCTGAAATCAATGTGCCAAGGTCCTGAATCTTTGAGTTGTGCGTTAACTGTTTCAGCGATGTCTAACGACCCGCACTGCGTTTACCTCCACAAGCTCGCAATCGCTTCACCCAAGAGAAAGCATGTCTTACCAGGGCTATGAACGCTTGATCCAATGTGAACCTGACAGGGAAAACATAGTTTGCTCCCTACTGCTGAATCACGGGACCTAGTCCAACAACTGGCAACAAGCAGGACCACCAGATCTCACCGTGTTGCTGGCCGCCCTCACACTTGATGAACAAAACTGCACACATGGCTTTTTGACAGACATGCGAAATGCGATATCCCCTGCAAAACCAGCACAAGTGAACACCACCGGACAATGATGACTCTCTACCACGCCTGGCCTCCGGGAAGACCCCCAAGATAGACCTTCCGTTCGTCAAACTACCACACACTTTCGGAGATCACATAGATAGACCTGAGTGTCCGACTCGATGCCTAGATTTTGCACGTTGCAAAGCAAGAGTTGGCCGAAGGAAAGAAGGACCAGCAGAAATTCCGAGGCCTGGCTGGGTGACTTCTGAAACATGCATGCCATGTCAGCAGCGGCAGAAAGGAAAGCTTAGCACCGAGAGCCCTTTTTCCTACACCACACTCACGAGCAGCTACAGCAAACCCAAGCTTGAGACCTGCCAAGTCACTCTAACGAAGACCTTTCGGTATCATGCCGCATGATCACGCTCTTCTTGACTGATCCGGGTCTTTTCAAGTTTTTGGGCAGCCCCGGGGGCAGTCTTGCGTGCATTGAGACTCTCACAACGTCTAGCTTCTGGGATGCCAAGCCATCATCGTCATCCCTGCTTGAACTCGCCACCCGGCTTGGTGGCAGCACTCCGCTTTTCTCATTTATGAGTTCTGTGAATTAACAGAATTCTCCGGCATTGTCTTCACCCTTGTTTGGCTTGATGAGAAACAAGATAACAAGATGTATCATGATGTTGTCTGCAAATCTCAAGTCCTGCCTACATGACCTCTTACTTTTTGGAGTGGTGTGGTCAAGATGGGCCCAGGGCTTCTCGATGTTCGAGGAAAATTTCTGCAGTTCAACACGGTCCCGAGAACATTGTACTGTCATAGAAGCGTTACATTGAAAACATGGATTGATTCGTTGATCTACCTTGAGGCTCTGTCTCTGGGCACAGCTCTGGCAACCCTTCAAGAATCCAGGAGCTGGCAAGCCATTGGGATTGTAGAAAGTTATGCAAAGTTGTGTTGCAGTGTGGTGGCCAGCTTTGACACATTGATTCCAAGATGGTGGCATGTGATGGAACCACTTTGAAACAGCGCCCTCGTGGTGGTGCCACAATTGGCCTCAGCCGCCACGACATCAGGATTACAACGATCATCCTCACGCGGCTGAGTCCAAACAACAGCTTCCGAAGCACCGCATTCTGCTGCTGGCAGTATGGTCTGGACGCTTGTTTGTACAGGCCCGGGCGATTGTGGACGGAGGGAGTAAGTTTGCTTTGCCATTGCAGCGATTATGATCGCTTGGACCTCAAGGCAACACTCGCAGCTAAATCAGGTCCCTCCCTCCGCCCTAGCTCAGAAGAGGAGGAGCGCTCTATTTTTTCGGGCTGGTGTCAGGTCGTTCTCTTCACCGACCTTCCTTAACCCAAAGCATTGGCCACGTCATAACTTTGATGCGCCCAATCTCCACCTCATTTACGGAGTCGCGCTTGCTTTTATTGTTGATACATTTCGCGCACTTCTTCCGAATCACGTCACCCTTGTATGAAAAGACAGCTTCAGCTTTGTTCTTTGCAAACGGCTAGTTGCACGCCGTCTTCCAAGAGCTCATAGGCACATCCCACCCTGCCGCTGCCAACAGGTGCAAAGTAGGATTGTCTCTATTGTCTCGTATGGAGTAGACCCACAAATCCTTCACCTTGCGCTTGCCAGCGCTCGAAACCGCGGTTGCCGAGTCCTGCTCCTCCACGTCCACTGGTGCCCTTGAAGGAGTGGTCGCCGCTGCAAAGGTAGACGGCAGGGTCAAGGGCACTGGGATGTCGCAACCGAGCTCCGAACCTGAAGGTCTGGGTGTCCTTCGCGCCTTCCAGCTCGCGAAGTTTTTGGCACCAGCAGTTGCCACGCCTGGGAGAAGCCACTGGTTAGCGGGGACTTCCTCCAGGGCGTCCTCCGTGTACACCAGCATGATGCTTGATTTCCATCTCCCCAAGAAAGCAACTTCCTGAAGCGGCAGCCCAGCTCGCACGTACATCATGGCTCCCGACCTGCGCGCCGAGTGTCCAGTCAGGTCAGCCTTGAGCTTGTCCTTCCACGCTGCCGCCATCAATCTCGTCGACTTGGTCCCCTCGCACACCTCGACGAAGACAAAGTCCGACTTTGACGTTGCCCTCCGGCTGATTTCCATCCACACCTTCCAGGCGCAGGTCCAGCCGCACTTCCGAAGGACGCAACAACCCAGAGTGCGTCGGACGCCCCATCCAATTTGATCTGTCTTCGTGATGGGAATCTGTAGCGAAATGCTTTTCTCCTGCTCGTTCACTGAGACATGAATCCACCTCACTGCAACAAGTTCTGCGGATCTTAACATCCAGACGGTTGCCCACGCGTAGGCTAGCGTGGGCTCGCAGACTTCCAGATGCCATCTGCACTGCCACAGCGCCACGTCCACGTCGACGATCTTCAGCTCGGACGCCCTTTTAACCGGGCCCAGGCTTCTGGTGACAGCTTTCTTTGCCACCACAAAAGCATCACCAGCCAATCAGTCCCGGCTCCACGTGCCACAAATTCAGCTCATTCGGCAAGGAGCCCGCGGTCTTCAGGCCAGCCGCTCCGAGGATCACGTTTTCTGTGCGCGGTGGAGTCTCCCACCGCATGCGCCACCTCCATCACGAGTTTGCGCTTGGAGCGCTGCGACTGCTATTCCCTGTTGGAGTCCGGCCAGAAGTCCTTCTTCAGGATCTCCACCGCAGCTCGTCTTCACTTGCCGTCTTTGGCAACCGCCAGCGGCATCTTGAAGGAGCCCCTGGCGTGGGTCTCCTCCGTATCGTTTACGGACTCTGATGCATCTCCGGCTGCCATCTGCGACCGGATGCGACCGGCGCTCATCATCTTGAACTCAGGCTACCAAGGCGCAGCATGCGGCCCAAGTTTGGTTGCAAACTCCAAGTTAGCGTGCTCCAGCAGGTGATCTTTACATTGCCCAGCTGTCTTACCAGATCGCGCTCGCCTAGGCCTCCAGGGAGCTTGCACTTGAGCAACTTCGTCGGAACTTGCCCACGCCCCAAACGTCTTTCTCCTCAATGAACTCCACGATGGGTCTGGACACAGCCTCCAACATCCTCTGCACAATGGGGTCAATGCTTCGCCTGTTCAGCTCTTCCGCAGGCTCCTCCACTAAGTGTCTTGAAGGAGCTGTCTCCAAGAAGGGCCCCTCGCGCCTCAAAGCTTGCTCCGCCACAGGTTGCACAAGCCTTGACGGAGTCAGGTGCCTCCTTCCAACATCTGCCGCAGATTGTGCACTGACGCTTGACGTTCTCCGCGGCTTCCTCTTCTTTGGGCTCAGCAGCCAGTCTCTGAAGAATGCCTCCATCCCTCCTGCAGCCCCACATGGCCAGCCGCGCGCATGAAGTTATGCCAAAGGCCAGCAGCGCCAGCAGCCAGCACGAGGAGAGCAACGGTGGGCCGACGAGGAGCCACGAGTTGGCCAGTTTAGCTGGCAGGTAATCCTCGGGGCATACGATTACCAACTCCAGGCTGCAAGCTGCGCTGGCCAAGCAAAAAGAGCAGTCTGAAACATGTGCGCAAGCGACCCTCATCACTCACAAGCTCAGACACGAAACACAGCACCCGCATGTACGGCTTTACCACAGGCGGAACCCTCCCACAGCTTACGCCGCGGCCACCTGCAATCTTTTCACAAGTGTTCGTACACGCAGCGCACTCCGCTTGTGTTCCCAGAGGCTGGAGTCAGCCGCCGGTCCGGGAAAAGGGTACCAAGCTTGAAGTTCTCCGGGCGGGACAGCCAGTCTGCCTCAACGTTCAAGACGCCCGCCGGGTGATGGCCGATCAAGCTGTGGATGCCTCCAATCTCCAGGTTCCATGCGACGCATGCGCCAAGAAAATTGAGAGCCCGTGATCCAACAGACAACCAGGTGCCTCCAGCAGCCCTTGTGAACCTGACTCGCCAACAAGGACGCCGCGAACCTGGCCAAGTCTTCCACGACCTTCGCTTTCAGCGCCGCCCGGGCTCGAAGGCCGTCTGCGCTGCGTTGGATACAGCCAGCACCGTGCCCAGGCCGCCCGGGATGGCATCTGCCACCACCAGAAATTTTGGCGGCCGTTTTTTGATTCGACACCTTGCTGCTTCTGCCTGGTCCGCTCATCTGCCTCCACCGAGCTAACCGTAGCTAACCACTGCGTACAGGATGGACACCAGCTAATGGATTCAAGGGACGATGCCAGCAATCCAGGACAGTCTCCTAGTGGTGGACCGGAGGTCGCCATTCCTTTGCCTTGCAATTCTTTCATCTTGACCAGCAGCTCCTTCACCACCTGCCCGGGCGCCGTCAGCAACAGCAGTGCCCTGTCGCAAGCGATCTCCAGCTGCACTCCTATCCAGCATCATATCCTGAGGCCCCGCTCTCCTTTATGGAAAGCGAGCTGCATGCCCATTGCTGCGGTCATGTAGAGCAGCACGGCGATGATGCCCCTTCTCCTCGCCTTTGGGCCTATGGGTCGTCCATGTAAAGCTGGAGCTCCCGGTCACGCATGATCATGGATTGCCACCCCCACAACCTTGCCAGCTGCAGACAGCCTGGCATCGGCCAAGTCATCCAAAGGGTCTGCCTCCCGCACGCGGTCGGACTTCAGCTGCCAGCCTGCGGACGGAGTCGGCAAAGTCGGTGCACCTTGGTCAGACGATTCTTTCTGGAACCTTTGCCCGGTCCTGGCCGCCAGACCGCAGCAAATCCATAATAATGCGTCTTTTTATCGATCCATCACTTTTTTCATTGACTATCAAGGCGAGTTTGCCGACCGTCCCCGACCCGAACCGCAGCTGCGCCTCAGATTTGGCAATCCTTTTTCGAGGTAGCGGCCCAGCTCCGGGTCGGTTTCCACTGAAGAGAATTTTCGGGGCCTTTTCCAGCGCCGGAGCTTGCAAGAAGCCTGCCGCCTTGGGGGCTTAGGGAAGATGCCGCTGGCGGGGATGTCTGTGCTCATAACTTCTCCGCGTCGGCGGACATTCTCTGCCAAGCTTGCCATAGGTTCGCCCGTAGTGGGCTTTTGAACTCAATCTTCTCCTTGAGGATCACCTCGGCGGTCCGGCCGTGCAGCAGGTCTGCCAGCTCTTCTTTCCAAGCTTCCACCAGGTCCTGCTCCAACTTGCAAGTGTCGCCACTATAGGTACGTCTTGGCTGCCAGCATCACATCGGGTTCTCCCGGACAAATCGTCGCCACAGCCTGGCGCAGTCTCTGCCCACTTTCGCGACCTTGCTGAGGCGCCGCACTGCTGCCCAAGGGTTGCGCATGCCCCCGACCGCTAAATGAGTTTCTTCATCTCGAAGTCCTCGCATGGAGACCTTGTTAGTGCTCTGCCGAGTCTTTTCAAAGACGCGCGTGGGCCATCCTGCTCGCGGCTGCTGCTTCTCCTTGGATTCCAGCCACTTGACCTGCAAGGCCAACACCTCGGAGCACTTGTTGGCCACCATGACTCGCCACCACTCCAGGTCTACGGCGCGCTTCCCAGCCTTGACCACCAGCTCGGCGTACTCTCTGCAGAGGTCCGCTGGGTACTCCGCAGCCAGCTCCTTGCGTTCCTTGCCCAGCTGTTGGTGCCTGTAGCCTGCGGGGCAGCTGCACTTCCTGCTCATGGCCTGGATCCCCTCAAGTCTTCCCACGAACTTGCCGGGCTTGAACCACTTGACTCAGTCCCTTATATCTTGGAGCAGCCACATGGGTCCATCTGGGCCCCCTGCCGTTCCAGGAGCGCTCTCCAACGAGCTCGCCTCCGGCACCCTCCGCCTTTGCTGCGCCAAAACATCGCCCATGTTTTAAGGGGGGGGACGTGAAAATGGCCTGAGCCATTTTCGACGTGCCCTCCTGTCTTGCTAAGACCTCTACTTGGACACCTTCCCAAAAAACGCCAAGAATCCAAGCCATTTAACGTCCCCCCCCCCCGCCAAGCCATTTAACCCCAGCTGAGCCATTTAATACAACACGAAACTCTCTTTTTAGGTTTTCTGACGCCGCGCCTTGTTTGGTGTAAGTTGAACGCTTTAACGTCTCTACACGCTCCCCACGACAGAGATTTCCATTGGAGCATGAATTGTTCAAGGAAGTCGCTGCTGCAATTGAATTTGCATATTTTTCTTTTGCTTGCAGGCTACCCTGCGCTTTCAGACAACCGACTCCATGCCAATGTGGGCCTCGTGCAGCACATAATTGCATACTCGTACTAGTAGTGAAAAGCAGTGAAAAGTAAGTCGAAAATCCGCCTGCATGTGAAGCACCAACCCCCATTGCGCACAAGCACCAGCGGACTCTTTCTGGGGTGTAGGGTTTAGAAGGTGTATGGGGTTGAGAGCTGTTTATAGCGTTTGTGGGGTTTATAAGCAGTGTGTAAGGCCTATAACGTTATATGGTTTATACATTTTATGAAATTCAGGGTTTGTGATGCTAGGCCTCAGCCAATGTCCTTACCGAGGCTTTAAACGGGAGGCTTTAACAAGTACAGGCAGCAGCAATGAGGGGGGGGGGGCACCGCCTGGCAAGGCGAGCCCCGTATGCGCCACGCGACGCAACAAGCGCGTAAAAACCAATACAAAAGCATTTACTAACCATAAAGGGCTCTAGACAGGGGCTTCCT